TAAGAAGCATGCTGTTTAATTTTCACATATCTTTATATTTTCCAAAGTTCTTTTTGTTGTTAATTCTAAGTGTAATACCATGTGTTCAGAGAAGATGCTAGATATTATTTCTATTCTTTTAAATTTGTAGAAGCTTGTTTTATGCCCTACCACATAGTCAGCCCTAGAAAATGTCCATGTACCACTTGGGAAAAAAATTGTGTATTCTGTGCTTTTTGGTACTGAATAAATAAATTTTAAAAGATCCAAAAAAATGGAAAGATATCTCTTGTTCATAGATTGGAAGAATCAAAATAGTTAAAATGCCTATTCCACTCAATGTGATCTACAAATTTAATGCAATTCCTTTAAAAATTATAACAACATTCTTCATAGATACAGAAAACAATTATAAAATTTTTCTGGAATCACAAAAGACCCATATTGCCAAAGCAACCTAATCAAAGTATGGAATTAAAGGCATCACACCGACTTCAAAACATAATAAAAAGCAGCATGGTACTGGCCCAAAATTAGACACATAGACTAATGGAACATTACAGAAAATCTAGTAATAAATAGAACAAGATGTAGCCATCTGATATCTGACAAAGGACAGTCCAGTGGAAAAAAGGTAGTCTTTTCAACAAATGATGTCGAGAAATCCGTATATCAACTTGCAGATAAATAAAACTAGGCCTGTCCTTCCCAGGGGATGACCATGGTATAATTCCTTTTTCTCCATTCTCCTCCTGGGACCTTGAGTACAAGTACCCAGTGTGATTTTCAAGCCTCCTGGTCTGGGACTCAACGGAAGCCAGCCATGTTGGAGTCCAGTCACATAACTGCTAGACCATCTGCTGGCCCCAAGGGTGGGGGAATTTTGAATGAAAACAAGAATACATGTAAATAAGGAGAGAATTGCACCACATCATAATTTAAAAATGCACAATTCAGTACATACTTTCAAAAAAAACTGTTATCAAATATACACCACATAATGTAATGTTCTATGTTGAAGGTAAATATGTATATATGCTTGATTTAATTAGTACACACTGTATGAATGCTTAAAACCCCATACTGTACCATATACATATGTACATCAAATATATATAAACCAGAAATCAACTGTACCATATACATATGTACATCAAATATATATAAACCAGAAATCATAATTTTTAAATAATTATTTTAACTATCTAGTTGCACGTAAGTTCTCCTAAATATTTTAAATGAAAAATTATGCCTGACTAGATGTCCTAAATGTTCTTAGTTGTGGCTCCCCAGAAGCAAAGATAATCTATTACACTAGTTATGGGATAGCTAACTAGTAATAGGAGAAATCATCATATTGTGATGTGGGTATTAATACTACTAAATTGAAAAAAAAAATAGAAGCAACCTTGACTATCTTAGGAAGCTATGATTTGGATAAGACTTTTCCAAAGTTTTTGCCAAAAGGCCTCCCCAGAGAGAGACAGGGAGAAAGAGAGATACCTTAAGAAAGCACTTCCATGATGTGTAGTCACACCACAATCCCTTCTCTTCCATTTCTCCATCCTATTGGGATTTAAGGCAAGCATGCATAGATGCCAGGGTATGTTTTCCAAGCTACTGGGTGTGAGACTCAAACCATGTGTTCAGCCATATTCAGTTCTGTTCCCTTAACCATTAGGCCTCTGGGTGGCCCCAGCAGAAGACTGGTTAACAGTTATTTTTCATTTGGCAGAAGACCAGTTAATAGTGGCCTTTGTTTGTCTGAAGATTTATTTACTTAATTTTATTTATTATTATTTTTTTTAATTTTAATTTGACCAGCGAGAGAGACAGAGAAGGAGGGAATATAAGAAAGCAAGCTACCAGGTCCAGGATTGTCGATCACTTGGGAGCTCAGTGTGCCAACCACCACACCACCTGCCAGCCCTAAGAACAAGAGTTAAATTAGACAAATTTGTATTTGATATTTTATCTACCATGAACAATCTGAATGAGGCTGTCATAGCGAATCAGTCTGGGTATCTGTCCCAACTCCTTATTATACACTTCAAATTATTTTTACATCAATAAGTAAATTATCAAGCTAGCTTTACTCCTCTTCAGGCTCAAAACAAATAATCTTTTACTATAGGTCCTTACTATATACTAAATTGTCCATTACAGACTCATATCTAAAGAAACTGTATTCCTCTAGGGATACTCACAAAGGGATGATATTTAGGAACAGATATCTTGGTGGATGCACTGCCTGGAAATATTTTCCTAACACACTCAGAATGGGGAGAACACTAGGATACAGAAAATTTATGATCATTTCCTCAAACTGTAAGCTAATATATGACACAATAAGGATAATCAAGCCTAGAAGGAAATGTTGTAAAAGAAACTAGCAACTGAATTATCCTATACATATTGAAATGTGTTCAGCCAGTGCCCCTAAGGAATGAAAGGGGGAAATAGAGCTCAATTTATGGTGATACTCAAAATTATTCTGAAAAAACTCTTCAGAGCTCTTTTCTTAGACAGAGTTTATTAATTTCAAGATAATTTTGAACGTGGGTCAAATAGAATAAATTCACTAATCCTTAGCAGAATATCCTTCTTAGAATGTTATAAGTGATCACAGAATGCCTAAACTCTTTTTTTTAATGTAAAAAATCTCTTTAATAACTTGAATTTGAACTTGTGAAGAAATATAGTTGCTATATTTATTTATTTTGAGGGTTTTTTCTTTTAATTTTTTTGTTTTAAATTAATTAATTTACATTCATTCACTAAGCATTGTCACAGCATACAAAATGTAATTTCCCTTCCAGCATACAAAATGTAATTTCCCTTCCAGAATATAATGCATAGTGGCTTAATCATACATGTTATCAATAATTTTCCATTTTTAGTTTCATATATATATATACACACACACACACACACACACACACACATGTGTGTATATATTTTCCCCCTATTTCTCACCCTCTGCCATTCTCCATCCTCCTCCCACACTGTCAGTTTTCCAGTTGTTTTCCATTCCTTTTTCCTCCACATTTTGTAGATTCACAAAATTTCTTAAATAATCTAACTACTTTCAATAGCAAGCTCAGCTGAATATATACATATCTATGAATACATGCCTGACTTTAGGCATGAAATTCTGAGTAGAATGAATATACTTATAAGGTAGCACCTAGCTGATGCTATATAGCTTACTACAATCATTAATCATGTAGTTTTTTACTATATTTTTTCATTTCAAGAAAAGCAGTTTTAGCTTTAATAAATCAAAGAAATGCTAAGGAACTATGCTTAAAATTTAAAGCCTGGAAACAGGTTGGGATTCTGGTCAAATAGTAGGTACATGAACCTACTTACAACTCAAGACAGGACAAAAATCCTTAAAACTGGAAAACAAAGCCTAGAAGAAAATTAGCAATGTTTTAGTAAAAAGTCATAAAATTCTATTTCACAGTTTAGTCTCATATACTTAACCTATCTTCTGTTGTGGTCCAATCTTCTTGATAATATTCTAGGATATAATATTCAACTCCAGACTTGTCCCTACAATTAAGTTGACCATTTTCTTAGTTTTTGAATTCTTATTTCTTAGTTTTTGAATTCTTATTTCTGTGTGACTGTATCTAATTTTCCTGGTATAGCACTCCCTGCAGAACTTCTTGGAGATCTGGTCTGGTGCTGGTAAATTATATCTCGTAGACTAGACTATGCATAATGGCAATTTTCTTACTAAAGAGAATGCAATAATCCATCACTCTCCCTCCCTCTCTCTCTCTTATATTTAAATACTGAAGTTTCAGAAAGAATTTATTTACTTTTATTTACTTACTTATTTTAAAAATATTTAAAATTATTAAGAATTATTAAAATTATTTTTAAATGTATTTATTTACTCTTTATTTCAGCTTTGCTACTATATTCATATACAATTTGGCTCAAATTTCAAGAAATGTTCATAACTTGCTTTTAATTAAACAGCAAAAATCTATCCTTGAATGTTAATACAAACTATGTTATTTTCCACAAAATATATATTTAAAAAGTATTTTAAGCTTATACAAAAGAAATCCTTACTAATTTTCAAAAGATATAGCAAAAGATTGTGACTCTTTAAATGTAAAAATTAAAATACAACATTTTCAATATTTGATTGGGGGCTGTTTGAAGTTTGTAGCTTGCTGTATCAAATAATCTTGAGTTACTGCTATCTTACACTGATTGACATGTCAAAAGTTCCATTGAGAAAAGTCTTGTATGGCTGTCATCATAAATTTGTAAAGTGGCATGCTATTTCAAAAATGAGATCAAGCAGTCACATAGAGTATTATAATACTCAATTAATAATACGCTGTGTATTATATTATGTGGCATTACGGAGTCAAGGTATGAGGTGCTATGTGAAAAACACCATGATTTTAGCTAAGACTAAAAGTTTTCCTATATACAGTATAAAATATAAGTGGATTTCAGTGAAAAGTGATCCTATTTATCTGTTTTTTATTCTGCAAGAAACAAAAAGGTTGATTCTACCATAGGCCTTCTTAATTTACAGTTAGCTGCCTGAAGTGCATGCAAATTGAAATAAAACAGCAGCCCTGGGACTTTCTAAAACATGACACATGAGGTTGCCAAGGTAACCCACCAGGAGGCTGTCTTGGCATCTTCTGGAATAAAATGGGAAGAAAACATTATAGAGAACAGATGGGGGATGGGGATTCTTGGCAAGGTTATATAATAAAGTGTTGCAAAAAACTACAGCTCCATGAAATTGCTTCCAAACAAAAAAAGGAACAAAGTATCTCTCATACTTCCAGAGTTTAAGTGAGGCAGGACACCATAAGAGTGGAATTAGAAAATATATATATTATTAAAATATATAAATTATTTAAATCCCCTATGCAATAGTACTTATAAATTTGTATGTTAACAAAAATTCAACAGAGGTGTACCTCACATTTAAGGTGTAGAAGTGATGCTTAATTTGTGATATTTTACTACTTTGGCGGGTCTTGGGGAAGCAGGGGACTTGTCTAAGAAAATAGTCTTGAGATAGAGCATCCCAACAGAACAATAAAAGAACAGAAGACACTAAAGAATCATTTCACTTTAGCTCATTGTTAGTTTTAAATTTATTCCTGACATTCTTCTTTGAGAATTACAAAGCATTTCTTTGATTTAGGAGTTGTTTCCTTTTATTTCACATTGCTGCTGTTTCTATTAAATGCACACAAAAAGCTTTAGTTCCCTCTCTCTGAAGAGCTGATTTTCTCCAACACAAGGTTATTCTATAAATAGTCAGTGAATCTCCTTGGCCTGTCCTTAGGCTTTTTTCCTTTCTCCTCTGTCCTTGAAGATTGAATATGAACTCTCTGAGCTGATGAAGGACAGGCGTGGAGATAGGCCGCTTTGGTGATGTCTACATGGGAAATTCCACAGCACACATAGTTGTCACAGCTGTAACGCATTTAAAAATTCTGTGTAGAAGCAAAAAAGTTCCATTAAGAAACAGGAAGATTTAAAAATAACATTGTATTTCAGATGCTTATAAACCTAATAACTGCTTTTTAATTTTTCATAAAAAATACAGAATTTTTATCATTTGTAATATTAGCCATATCAAGATAACTAGACTCTGATTCTATGTCTTGGGTGGCAGTAATCCAATTTAGTTTTAAAAATCAAGACTGACTATTTTATATTGTATATAAATTCAAAGTAGTCATTTTTTTTTTTTTTTTGCTTTTTGGTGCAGAGGAGACACAATCTTCCTTATAAGACATTATTTTCCTATTGAAGATTAAGCAGTGACAGTCCTCCATCTAGTCCTATCCCTATGTGCCTTAAAAAACTTTGAATGTTTCTCATCACCTACAGACTAGGAGAGACTGCTTACTGTATTTCACAGGGCCCCTCTCAGTTAAGTCCCTGGATTTCTGTTCACACATAGTATGTTCCAGCCACCTAAACAACTTCTCTCTGAACACAGACATGGAGGGTTACTAATTTTTCCCTCTCTGAGGCATCTTTCTCCTTTTCTGGAAAATAGCTTTAACCCAGCTCACAAGCCATTTCTTCTGTTAAATAATATATTCTCTTCTCTTGGATGGCTTCTGTCTTCTTTGCTTCTATAGCCCTTTGCTTTCTCTGATGCAATGTGTATCACACTGTGATATGTTTTAGAACTCTGTCTCCCATGCATCATATACTCTTGAAGACAGTTATGTCCTGTTTGTTTTGAATCATGGGTACTTAGGAGAGTCCCTAGCACACAGTAGGTCATCAACGAACATTTGCCAGTAGGTCATCAACGAACATTTGCCTGATACTGAATGAAATATCTTGGATATAGAGTGCACACAGTAGGTCATCAACGAACATTTGCCTGATACTGAATGAAATATCTTGGATATAGAGTGCAGAATATCCCAGGATGAGGAATGGTCTGAGAGGCAGGCAGTCTGGTTAGCTTCTTAGCTGGAGAGGACTGGCTCCAAAACTGGCTGATTCCTATATGGGACGGTGCAAGGGAAGGAATTGAGGAGAAAAAGAAGCAAAACATTTAAGGGACACAAAAATGGAAAATTGTCATTGATGACAATGTGTATAATAATATCGTTGACTGACAATGAATACAGTGTATTCATGATGGGAACATTTATTTTGTATACTGTAATTCTATACAGTGATTAAATTTATAAAAACAAAATTTAACTGGATGATTCCTAGACTTTGCATTACAGAGGAGTTATGTAGTGATTCAGAATCAGGTCTAGAGTTGAACAAATGTATATGCTTTTTTTTTTTTTTAGGCTTTTTCCATAGGACATTTACTCACACTGGGGAGAGAGAGAGAGAGGGAAAATAAGAAATTATCCCCTAGGAAGAATGGTCACACTGCAACCCCTCTCCTCCATTCTTTCGAAATTTAGGGCACACATGCACACTGTGTGATTTTCAAGACCCTGGCTCTGGGACTCAAACCATGGTAGGCTATGTGGGAGTTCAGCATCTTAACCACTGTGTCACCTGCTGGCTCCTGAATTTACTCTTTAAATAAGCATTCCAGGTGACTCTGACACCAAACTTTGGGTAGTAATATGGAGATATAAAACAATTGGGACCAGTGGTTGGTGTAATGACTATGTTGCTGGACTCCCATGTAGTCGACCACGGTTCAAGCCCCGGACCCAGTGGCTAAAACTCACGCTGGGTGCATGTGCGTGCATGCCCAAGATCCCAAGAGGAGAATGGAAGAGAAGGGATTGTGGCAGGGGCATCCCGGGGGGGGGGGGTGATTTCTCCCTTTCTGTCTCTCTGTCTCTCTTTGTCTTTCTGGCAAGCGCACGCGCGCTATAGCAAAAACCTCTAAAAAAAAAAATAAATAAAAAACTTATTGAAGAGAATTTTATATGCACTGTAAAAGGTTTAATAATATATAAAAATAGCTAGTAAGTGAAGGAATGATCTAAAGCAAGATATTTTCCATTAAATGCCTGATCTATCTAAATTTTTTAAAATGTAGTTTATGAGTTGTGCATACCATGAAGCATAAAATGTGATCTGCTCTAAGTTTTATTTTGCAAAGTGTTGTTTCCACCATTTCGAGGAGTAACTTATAAGATCATAAATTTATAATCTCAATTAGATAGCATGCTCTCTCTTCTCAAGGTCAGAAGAGCACTCAAAATATGATTTTTAAAGCATCCAAGCATGTCAACCAAGAAAACCTAGAGTTCTTATAGTGAGAATTACTTGTATTTGAGAAAAATCAGAGAGAGGAAAATGAAATGACTGTCAAGTTGAAAAATCACTGCAGTACTCATATCATGGAATGAAGTCTGTGCTGCTTGGGAAATATACACTAGGCACCAAGAAATTGGCACCATTATGGGCTAGATTTCAAATTTTAAAATAACATAATTAGCTTCAAGAAAAGCCATTTTAGCTTTAATAAATACAAATTTTTAAAAGTTAAGAAAAATTTGCTTAAGCTATAAACCCAAACAGTTCAAACAGTAGGTGAATACTAAAAACTCAAAAAACAGAAATGGACAAACAGTAGGTAGATATAAAAAACTCAAAAAACAGATATGGACAAAGCTAAAATCTAGTAACAAGTGTACTGTAATTTTGTTCAAACAGTAGGTAGATACTGAAAATTCAAAAAACAGATGTGGACAAAGCTATACTCTAGTAGCAAGAGAAATGTAATTTTCTTCTGAAACATTTTTTTCTCTCTCCATTCCCCCTTTTACTTACTTATTAAGAGAAATAAACTTACTTATTTGCAAAAAAAATAATTTTAGTCTCGATTTGGCCTGTTATTTGCACAAAGCCCCACAAGAATACTCATTGATTTAGTTGGTTTTGCTGGAACCTTTTACAGGGAACTTCAGATTTGACTCTTTAAAAAGTGTCCAAGGCTACTAAGCCAAGTCAGAAATTTACCATCTGACTGTGCCTGCAAGTACTTTCAAGTTTTTTGGGCCTATCAGGAAGTGACTTTTTTTTTTTTTTTTTTGAGAGGTTTTTGCAATAGGACTCATGCGCTCGCCAGAAAGAGAGAGACAGAGAGACAGAAAGCGAGAAATCACCCCCCACGGGGGATGGCCACTCCGCAATCCCTTCTCCTCTGTTCTCCTCCCAGGATCTTGGGCACGCATGCACGTGCGCCCAGCGTGAGTTTAAGCCACCGGGTCCGGGACTCAAACCACGGTCAACTACATGGGAGTCCAGCGACATAGCCATTACGCTAACTGCTGGTCCCAGGAAGTGACATTGTTTATCTCCCTGCCAGGCAGAACTGTTTATGGTGCCAGGCAATCTGTCTACGAACTTCTGTTGGCTTTCTTGAGATCAACCTTAGTTTCTTAGCTTTCTGGTCGTATCTTGAGATATGGCACACCAGTCAAAGCCCTGGCACCATTATTTCCAATTTCTGATCCAAGGCAACAGATATTACTGAACTTATGCAAATAACCATTCTGCCACACAATAAGAATACTGACAAATATTTTCCAATTCCAGAGGGGTCAGGAAGGGAGAAAAGTCTATGTTTCAATAAAAAAAATGAACAAATTGCTGAAGCTATTAACAAACTCAAAAGAAAATGAAAATCCTTAAATCTGGAAAGCAAAGCATAGAAGAAACTCATTAATGTTTTAGTCAAATAATACATCAAAGAACAAACGAACAACAATAACAAAAAACCTTCATAATGACCTCAGTAAGCTATAGCCTCAGATGTTACTTTATAATATGTTCATTCTAGTCACAAAATTTTATGCCTAAAATTAGACATGTTTTCATAGATATGTTTATATCAACTGCACTTACTAATGAAAGTTATTTAGCTTAATTAAGATCTTTTGTGAATCAGTAAAATGGAGGGGGAGGGACATGGAAGGGGACTATAGATAACCAGAGACAGTGTGGGAGGAGGGAGGGAAATGGTAGAAGGTGAGAGGGAAGGAATCAAGGGGGAGGGGAGAAGCAAAATATATAAGAAACAAGTAATGGAAAATAATTTGTTGAAGATAAAATGTATGGTAATATCTTTGATTGATTCAATATACAGTGTATTCTGGATGGGAAAATTCATTGTGTATGGTGCAATGATATATAGTGAAGTAATATAAAGTAAATAAATTTAAAATAAAAAATAATGTAATTAGCTAAAACAAGCTTGTTTGAAGAATTAGAAAACTGATATTTCAGTTGATCTTTTCCTAAAATTGCTCCTTTATTATGGTGTTTAAAGGATCCCTAAAGTGAAGTTCCAAGGAAGGATGGGAATGAGCTAATGCGGAGTGGGCTTTTCTCTAGTCTCCTCTATCTACCATTTATGGGGTTATAAGTAGAAGTGATCATGCAGCCAGCCATAGACCTAGTATACAACCTCTTTTGAGGAATGAGCTAATATATACGAATTAGTCATTCTAACTCCATCTCAGATTTCAGTATCAGTTCTCCAGTAAAGAGGAACATTTCTCTGAACACGCATTCTTTGCTTAGTTCTGATGTCCTGTCTTGCCTTAACTCTTAATATTATTCTTAAAGTGCCAGATAATGCTCTCTGCCCATTTCCATCTCAAACCCAATCCTAGTCAGAATTCTCTCCTGGTGGGTAGATCGCCTGGATCCCAATGCCACTGAATTTACCTTTGTATTAACTAGATTTCTCATGTTGCTAAGTCAGAGTGAAGTATAGGGCTCTACCAGTTAATTACCCATAATTGCCTGATCTCTAAGCCTTTCATATAATATGCAGGTAATTTCTCACAGTAAGATCCAGATCTACAACTATATTCACTTTCCTGCCCTCATTAAGCTGAATCTTTATGTCTTCCCTTTAAAAATCACCTTTAGGGGTCCAGCAGTTGGAATGGTGGTTAAGGGCACTGGACTCCCACATGGCTGACCACGGTTTGAGTCCCAGACCTGGCGGCTTGCTTTCTCATGTTCTCTATCTCTG